CTTTAAGACAATTGGGATAATTGATTGGATTAATGGTTGTGACAAAGGTTGTCCTTGCACCTGAAGGGAATGAAGAACCGGATATGGTAGTTAGTGCAAAAATTGCTAAATTATTTGATAAATTTGAAATATTTGACTTTCTACTTGAGGATCTTAAGGAAAATTTTGGGGATGAGAAATCTTGATTTGATTGAAGTTCATAATTTTTAAAACCATTAAATCCTTGAGATGATTGAGTTGGATATTGTTGTTGATGAAATTGTTGTTGTAATTGTTGTAACATTTGTTGTTCCATTACTTTAGCAGCTTGAATGATTGTTTTATCAAAAGTTTTAGTATATTGTTGATTTAAACGACCATTTGATAACTGTTAAGCTTTTTGTTGCTGAGCTTGTTGTTGTTGTAACAATTGTTGAGACTGAACTTGAACTTGAGCTTGATCTTGATTTATATATTGTTGAATAATTCGAATTTGTTGATGGAAAGAACGTGAATTATGATTATTATTATAGTTGTTATGATTGTGATTATGATTATGATTATGATTATGATTATGATTATGATTATGATTATGATTATGATTATGGCTGCGACTATGATTGTTATGACTATTATTGTTCTGGTGTCTATTGTTATAATAATTATGATTTTTATTAGGATGAACATTTGAAGCATAATGATGATTAAAAGGTTGATGGTTTGTAAAATTAGTTATAGCCTTTTCCACTTCACTTAATTAAAAACAAAAGGATGACTTTCAATGATTGTGTTTGACAATTTGATGGAATCACCATTCATTGTGAATATGACTTGAGTGGACATGATGGTATAAATAAACCAATAATAAGTAAATTAATGATAAACCAAAGATATTGATATGATGAGGCAAAAATATGCAAAATTGAACGAAACGAACGAGCAGTGTATAATGAACCACCTCGAAAATAATCCTTTGAAAAGACCTTGATGTATTTTAAAAGTTGATTGTAGTTAGATCTGGAAAACAAATTTGGGAAAAAAAAAGAGCCTGAAGAGATAACAGTCAGCAATAACAACAATCATCAATTTGTTCTAGATTAATCAGTCATCACTAACAATACAAGCCACAGCTTGAAATAACCTAAGCATTGGTATCAAACATTTATCCATCCTTCAATATTACCCACAGTTGAATCTTTAAAATCTTTAAAAGTATTCTTCAATGGAGTATACGAACATCATGTAACTCTAGGGTATACCTTGTTGAAGTTTTAATTGTCATTTGTAGTTTTTAAATTTAATGAATCCGATATCGCGTAATCAGGCGATCTTGGATTATAAACAAAAGATCAATAAAATTTTATAATGATTATAGCTCGCTCAAAAAACGAAACAATAGGTGCTTTTCTACTTTCAATGAATGATGTTATTGCTTAGACTTTTAGTTATCCATTCACGAGTACGAGTTTATTTGTTTTATTTTATTGTATTAATGCACAAAGTAAAGTGGCGTTAAAGATTAATATTACATGTTAAATGAAGCGGCTAATTATAATCTACACTAGATTGAAATCAATATTTAACATTTAAACTATATTGTAGATCAAATCGACTAATATCAATATTGATATATCAATCATGGATCTATGTATAGCTTAAACACATGTATTAATCATATCATACGTCAAGCAATGCTAGAAATTAAATTCAAATATATCATTGCTGCATATTGTGATCACGTAAAACCAAATTTGATGCTTATATTGAAAAGTATGTTAAGGAATTTCTTATAATTAATCTTCAACGGTAAAACAAGTTATGTAGAATATCAAAAGTAATCTAGGTGTAGACAATTTTCAAATTTAATTTAAATTTACCATCAGCGGCTAATTACATTTTTTAATATATTTACGTACACAAAAGGAGATCGATTACATAATATAGTATATAAGCAGTTTAATTATTTAGCGACAATTTTTTTTTTTAAAGGTTATATTATTGTATATTATAAATTTAGTTTCACTATATCTAAGAGTGATTTTCGGTGTCGTTAAGCTTTGGTATTCTTATAGACCCCACATGATGTTTGCTTAGCGGCTTGCATTTATAAGTTCCGATCTTATTGTCCCTTTCTGTCTTCTCTTGTTTTTTATTGTAATATCATATAATCATATTGTATAAAATGTTTTTTTTGCTTTCTATTTTTTGTAATTATTATGTGTAATTATTATGTGTATATGTATATTTTATTTTTTTTTGTTTTTATTTTTATAGTTTAAATGTAATATTGTAACGATCTGCTCTTGTTTAAGTAAGATTGAGCATTGCTGAACATCTGACTTTGATGTGTTTAATCAAATTGGGGTTCAATTGATCTGCTATATCTTCTTGAGTTTCTAATTTTCCAAACTATATTGATACATATGGAGAAATTGTGAAGTTCATGTACCGTTTCCTGGATAGATCATAGGGACCAACATATGTTTCAATGTTATAGGGTATGCAGTGATGGTTCCATGTTTAACCATTTGTCAAATTTTCAATGATATTGGACATTCTTCGAAAACGTGTTTCAAAGATTCTGGAGCAGAGCCTCAGAGACAACAGTTTAGTAGATTTCTGTATGGAAATTTAGTAGAAATAGTGGTTACAAAAGTAAATTTGTGATCTATTTGTCCAAGATTGAATCTTTGGAGCCATTCTAACAGTCCAGGTTTCTGAGTTTGTAAATGATAAAGTTTCTTCCAGAAAGCACCCCATCCAGATGGTTCAACTTGTGGTGACACATATGAGATTGAGTTTCTGGTGATGGGTGAGTTGATCTTAACATGATATTTCGTTTATCAAATAAACAAATTGCATTAGCTGTTGGCTCAACTGAATTAGAAGAATTAGAAGTTGAAGCTGACAGAACGAGTTTTGGTGTGTACTCAATTCGCTAAAAATAATGATGCATTGGTTACAGAAATCACAGCGAGTACAAAGTATTTATATACAACATATAACATCATTTGATGACTTTTGTACTATGGCTTTAGGCCCAGGTGGTTATAGTATTTGTTCATCGGTTGAATTTGATTGGTGTGTCGTGGCTACAGCAAGAGTTTTAAGAGATTTAGATCAGAAAACAATTATATATTGATTAATTATAGCCCAAAAACAATTTCAACTGATTTTGATGATGTTGATATATTATATTTTGAAGAGTTAAGTCTTTAAAGTGCTATGGATGTTTATGAATTAGATGGCTCTAAAGGTGTTACTGTTTCAGTTGGTGCTCAATTACCACAAAATTTTTCATTAATAGTACAAAATAATGGTGTTCAAGAACGTCATAAATTCTCTTCAATGTTGAATTTCAATGGAGTTGATCAACCGTAACGGAAAAAACGATCATCCATTGCTGCTAAAGAATTTGCTGAAAATGTTGGTTTCCAAGATTTGGCTCCTCCATCATATGCTCAATCAGGTGCTGCTATGTCAGTGATTAGAAATGAAGGTGAATTAGAACATAAATTAGATAATGCACCAAAAGTTTCACCAGATCATACAGTCATTATTTCCAAATTCATCAAAGCTGCACAAACAATTGATTTTGATACAGCCGCCGCTGCTGCTAATGGTAAACTTTTAGTTCTTGATATTTTAGAACATGTTGAAAATGCAGGTATAATTCATTCAGGTGATGCTACATTACTTTCAAACTTATTACAAGATATTTTTTTCTGGAAAAGAATATAAAAGAAAGTACTGATGAAGCTGGTAAATCATGGTATATTACGGTCCTTTCAATATGCAAATTATTACAGCTGATGTTGAAACCAATCCAATATATCAATAGTTAAAAGTGATTGAATGTAATATTAGAACTTCAAGATCCTTCCTATTTGTTTCAGAAGTTTCAGGTACAATTTTCATCAGTGCTTTAGTCGAATCAATTTCTGGAAATGAAGTTGAAACAAACAATTTAATGGACTTTGAGCTCAACTGGTGAAATTGCAAAGTTTGATGAAGTTGTTACAGAAGCTTATTTGGCTGCTTTACAATCAAGAATGAATTTTCAAAATCTGATCAGAGAGCATAGCGTGAGGCTTTCAAAAAATATGATGTTAAAGGTGTTTTCAATTAAGCTAAGGCTAGAGCTGAAGATTTATTAGATCAAGATTATGTTATGACACGTAATACAATCAATATCGGTTTTTCATAATTTAATGTATCACAAACTTCATTATTATTTACCAGCGCATTAGTTGATAAATTTGATACCCAATTGAACCGAAAAGATGGTGAAATTATTTTCCCAGAAGAAGATTGCCGTTAAAGTGAACTCATTGGTGGTGAAATCAATATCTCAATTGGTTTTAATATAACTTGTGTGAAATATGAGTGGTATATTAATTACAGTAAAAATGTATAAGTTGTAGAGTATACACCCGTCATGATATTGACAATGATTGGTATATTAATGGAGCCATTAGTAAATAGTGGTGATGAGGCTGAATCTGAAGAAGAAAATAATCAAGAAATCGAAGGAGAAGTAGATGGTATTGCTGAAAACAGTATATCAAGTCAAATTGAAGACAAATCATATGAAAAACAAGAAAATCATGAAATTAAAGTTGAAGTTGGATCTGATTATAGTGATAGTACCATAAGCCAAAATAAAGACACAACATATGTAAAACAAGAAGATCATGGAGCTGGTTATAAAAATGTCAAGAAAAATGATCATGATAAAGTAATAAAAGATGAAGAAGAAGATCAAGAAGTGAGAGATTTAAATTAAGATCATTAATTATCATTAATGAAGATGTTGAAAAGATTGATGTACAGAAAACTAGTGATGAATCCACCGACACCAAAATGTTAGAGTGTCAAAGATCTTCAAATTGAACACAAGTGAAATTTTTTCAATTAATAACGAGATTTCAACAATAAACAATCTTGATTTAAAGAGCTATAGAGATTTAATATCTACTAAACATCTGCTGATTTTATTATATTATTATCAAACCTTGACACCAATCTCTATATGTATGTTTTATATAGCTATTTAATAAATAATGTGCAGTGTTATGATATACTTAGATGTAACTAACAACTCGATGAAATTAATGTAATGCAATAATAACAATCATCAATTTGTTCTAGATTAATCAGCCATCACTAACACTACAACCCACCTAATTTAAATTTATCTAAGAATTGGTATCAAAACATTTATCCGTCCTTTTATATTTAACACAGTTAATTCTTTAGAATCTTTAAAAGTATTTTTCAATGGTGTATAGAAACATCATTCAACTCTAGGTTGTACCTTTTTGGAGTTTTAATTGTTATTTGTAGTTTTTAGATTAATGAATCCGATATTTAAGGATTCAGGTGAACAATTGGATTATAAACAAAATCAATAAATTTTCATAATGATTTAACTCGGAAAACCAGACAAAAGGTGCTTTTCTACTTTCAATGAATGATGTTATTGCTTAGACTTTTAGTTATCCATTCATGAGTACGTGTTTATTTGTTTTAATATCTTAATTGTATTGCACAAAGTAAAGTGGCGTTAAAGAATATATATTAAATGAAGCGGCTAATTATAATCTACACTAGATTGAAATATTCAATATTTAACATTTAAACTATATTGTAGATCAAATCGACTAATATCAATATTGATATATCAATCATGGATCTATGTATAGCTTAAACACATGTATTAATCATGTTCGTATAAAATATAATATAATATTAATATACGGATCATGAAATTTGTTTAATCAGCTTAATATAATTAAAAATATATTTTCGATCAAGATCATGATAATTAATCATGAATTATTAAAAGACGCCTAGCATTTCACTATGAAAGTAATGGAAGAATTCATTATTAAAATGTTTGAAATATTAACCAACCATAATCCCAAAGGATATTGTTCAATTAAGTTGTAGAAGATTAAAAATAAGCCCCTGTATTTAAGTTTCAACTTTTAAGTATTCAATTGATATTGCAAAATGTGGAGCCGAATATATGTGGCCCGTGGCCTAATACATAATACTTTTATTTACCCGGCCCTCCCATAATCTTAAACCATGGATTTATAGGGATTGTTGAGGTGGAGGCAAAGTGCTTTATAGAATGCAATTCAGCAAAGTTGATCAATTGAGTCAGTTGTTTTGAAAGTGACAACTATTTAGTATAAAGAGAATAGAATTATATACAATGGCTAAGGGAAATAAGAATCTAGGTGGTATAAAACCTGAAAAAGCAGCTGCTACCACTGCTGTTACAACTGATTCTGGTGATCAAGAAGAAGGAACAATTTTGAATGATGATTTATCTGATGATGAAGAAACAAGTAAGAAGGATGAATCTAAATCTGACTCCAAGGAAGGATCCAAAGATGTTGCTGCTAAAGATGATAAGATTGAGGATTTGGAAACTGGTAAAACTGAAGAAGTTAAAGATACTAAAGATGGTAATGTTTCAGTAAAGGAATCAAAAGATGTTGAAACGAAATCAGAAGTTAAAGAAGATAGTATTTCAGACTCAAAAGTTGAAGAATCAAAAGATACTACTTCAACTGCTAAAATTGAAAAAACCACCACAGAAGATGTACCAACTACATCTACAACTGCAACTACAGAAGATCCACCAGCTCCACCACCAAAACCAGCAAGACCATTATCACCAAGACAAGAAGCTAAAAAGAATCTTAAAGAAGCGTTCCCAACAATTGATGATAAAACAATTGAATCTATATTGATTGCATCTTCATTCAAATTAGAACCAGCTTTTAATGCTTTATTATATTTATCTGATCCAGAAGCTATAAAATTTGAAGAAGTTGTTGTACCAAATGAAGCACCAACTCCACGTCGTCAATTATCTCAATTAGAACAAGATGAATTATTAGCTAAGAAATTAGATGAAGAATTTAATAAATCACAAAGAAGAGAAAGAGAAAGACATAGACGTAGACAACAATATCAACAACAACAAGGACAACAAGGTGAAGGTTATTATCCGGGAGATCAAAGATCAACAAGAAGTGGAACCAGACAAGGACCTTATCAAGATAGAGAAGAAGAAGATGATGATATGTTTTCAAATTTTGTTGAAAAAGATTTACCACAAATTAAAGAACAATTTTCTAAAAACATTGAAGATACCAAAACAAAATTTAATAGTTGGGTAAGTGGTTGGAAAAAACAATATCAAACAACAACTGAAGAATGGCAAAATAATAATAGATCACAAGGTCAATCACAACAACAACAAAATCGTACAAGAAGATATGAATTTGAAGAAGATCCAGAAGAAGTTGATGTTGGTCAAACTTTTGGAGGTATTTCACTTGGTAATAATGATGATTCAAATGAATCAAAACCAAAATTACCAAATCGTAATAGATCAGAATCAACAGATCTTTATGGTACACCAAAGAATTCTAATAAAAAATGGGAACCATTACAAAGTAAGAAACCAGATCCAATCAAATTGAATAATGACGATGATGATGATTTTTTGTTATCTGATGATGAAGATTTAAAGAAGTAGTTAAATAGTTGAACAGCTTTTTTTAATAAACAATATAGCTACAAGTAAAAATTGTAAATTCATAAATTCTTTATTCATTTCTAGATGCAACAACAGATAAAAAGAAACCCCAAACTAAAACTAAAACTAAACTATAACAAGTAAAACAATAAAACAAAACTGAAATAAATTAAAAGCAACCCAAAAGACAAATATAAAAAATAATTAAATCAAACTCCACATTAATATATCAAATTTGTAAACCCCATAGTTCAAATGATCATTTTTCATTTTTTTGCGCTCATCATTTTGAGACTTTTTTTGCTTTTCCCGGGGAAAAAACACACAACCAAAAAAATTCATACTTCCGATTTCCGTTTAAATATAAAAGTGAAACTTTTTAGAAAACCTAATCATCTTTATGGCATATTTGATAGTAAATAAAAGAGTTTAATCTTGATGGTATAAATAAAATAAATGTAATAATGATTTTTAATGATTTTTTTCGTAACTTTTCATAACTTTTTCTTTGATCCCCTCTATAGGCAGTGTAATCAATGGGTATAAAAGATCTCTTTAATTTAATTGTCTTTTATCAACAACTTTTGCACTGAAGAATTGATTTGAATTTGAAGATAAGACTGGTTGTTGAATGGTTAAAGTTGGGAATTTTGATGGCTGAACAGATGGTGTAGATTTTGTAGAAATTATTGGATCTGATGAAGCTCCTAATTTAATTGGAGATGCTTGAGTTAAAGCTAAAAAGGTAATTGATGAGATAATGATTGATGAGAATTGCATTTTTTATAAACTTATTTTGTGAAAGGAAATGTTTAGATTGATGATAAGGAATGACAGTGATATAGTTAATGATTTAATACAATTAATTAAAAGGTATTCAATTATAATCTGAGGATTCCAACTCTTTTTATACAAATTTTGATTTCCGCAGGGATGACTTTTGCAACTCTATGGATATTTTTTGAAACAGTGACGCGACAAGGGCTAGGCGGCGGCCCAGGCTAGATCTAATGGGGTCTCGGCATTGAGCACTAGACCGCGTTTTGTGGTAAAGTGAAAAAATGGGTAGTGTGACCAGTAGTTAAGGAAGGGGGGACTAGAGGCAGCTTCGAGACTACCCGAGATACCAGAGACTGGATTTTAACGGTGTTTGTTTTGGTTTGAAACTTGTAACAAACAAACAAGAAACAAAAAATCAACAAATGTTTGAAACTAAGACATCCCAAGTACTAGCCTATAAATTAAACCTTTGTTTATCTTATACTGGTGATAATTCGATAGCCTATTCCTGTATAACCTCAAAGTAGGCTGGTTAATCTATTATTAGTCGTATGTCATTTGGTATTCTAGTTCTTCATTTTCCCAGCCTTCTTCTAACATTCTCAAAGAATAATAATGCGTTAACCCAGATTACTCGCATCGCGTTTTCTAGAATTCCAAATCTAAACAACAACAAATCCCTTAACTTTGACACAAAACTAAGGCACTGTTATGATTTATATTTGATTGATAACACATGCCGCTGCAGGCTAGAGATCTGATGGTTATAGATTCGTATAAGATTGAGGCTGGTTCGTGTACTGAGGATGAGACCAAAACATGTTTACCCTTCAACGTTTATTGACTACTGTTTTAGAATTTAAAATGGCTAGATTTTGATTCTTCAACCTATCTAAGAGACAAAACACGGTTGTGTTAGCCTATTAAACCCAATTGATTACCTTGTTGAGATACAAAGTTTACTCAAATCGAAGTGTGAGACAAACCTCGAACAAATTTGTGTCTGACCTTCGTTAACTTGTTGATAAGAGGCTAGAGCTCCGATTCAATCTTTCAACCAGCTACCAATCTAAATATTAAGTGTAAGAATTTCAAAACGAAGAGGCTATTGGTTAACTAAGTAGGCACGGTCCACAAATCAATAAGTTTAACGTTCAAACTTCATGTTACAACGTACAAGTCTATATATAACTCGAGTGAAACATGCCATGTTCTTGCCAATGCCTACTGAGTATATATGTCATATGATATTTAATACTTCTACACGCCTGAGACCATGAGTAATTTTAG